CAGCAATATTAATACAACTTGCAACTATATTTAATTTCACTGCAAACGCAGATGGAACATACAGACATAGTAGGAGCTACACATGATGTCAAGCAGCGTAAGCAGTAATACAGTATATGTCATTAAATATTAAAGATCAATCTAATTAAAGATCAAATACAATGAGAGCAGTAATAAGGATGTTTTTCCTTGGCACAAGAATTAACAGAAAATAGAAGCTAATTTGTCTAAAACATTTTCATTTCACTAACTATAATAGGTACATTCAGATATTTTATGACAATTAAATTTAAAGATACTTATCTTAAAGACACACACACACAACCTAAATTCAGGAATTAACATTAAATCAAAGAAAGGTCAGACATGCTTTGCTCTTGTCCATAGACTTTTGTTTAAGTTTCTTTACCCCATGCTGTCTATAACTAAAACGCTTCACTTTTCCTTGTCAGATTTATCTTGCATATGCATCATTGCAGTACTTTTAGTCTCTTATGTTTAATTCCTCCAGCACTGATTCCTCTGTGATTTTTCTCCAGCTGTCAGGAATCGCACCTTTGCCTTTAAATTTGCATCCACATCTATCCTCCCAATCCTTCTGAAACCTGCAAATGAACCATTTCCAGTAACCCTGTGTGCTCCCATCTGCGGTGATGCTCCACTTATCATAAGGGTCACCAGCATCTCTGTAGGACTTGTAGGGGATCCATTTTTCATCTGGAGGGATTATGAATGAACCATCACTGCTTACATCGGTTGTGCAAAAAGTGATTGAAAATTCATCTGTTTTATAATAATGAACATGACCCATAGCACAGGACCGGTGAAACTGAACCCTGTGGTCATCACTATGGTTAGTTATAGTATTTGTGCAGATGGCCTTGCAGAAAGGGCACTGAGCCCAACATCCTTCCAGCTGTTTAAAAAGAATCTCTGTTGTTTTCTGCTTTAAGAGGCGTAAATGCTGGGAAGATGCATCAACCTTTTCCATATTTTCACTTTTAACCACCTCTTCAAGATACTTGGCTATCATCTCTTTCAGAAACTTTGTATCACTAATGTCTTCATCCTGAATGCTTGTCAGACTCTGCCTGTTTATGACCATGTGGTCTCCAAGTTTTGTACAGAAATGATCGAGCCACGTGGATGCATTGCCGTTCTTCAGGTTCACTTCCTCAGATACCTCTGTGCAGATACGTAAAATGCAAAGTTTTATTTCTTCTAGACGCCCACGAAACATCTCCTGCAGTTTTTTGTAGTCTTTGCAAAATGTTTCCACATGTTCACCAATAAACCTTTTAAAATACGACTTTGGGTTGTGAATGTATTCATCGTAGAACTCAAAATTCTTCTGCATTGCAAGATGCCTCAGTATATGATTTTCAAGGTTGCATCTGTTGCCACTGAATGCTGGGTTGTTGCATTTCATTGAATCAATGATATGCAACTTAATTTGATTGTAAATTGCCTCTTCAACTGCAGGCAGAATGTTTTTGAATAAAAACTTAGCAAATATTGTCACTGAGTTGGCTCCTTTGCAATAGTTTTTGAACATCTGGAAGTACTGTTTCCTTTTACTTTGCAGGTAGGTTATTGGATTGTTAGCTTTCTTGAATGACTCGTGCATTCTTTGAAACCTCTGGACAGAACCGAGGCAAACAAGAACTGACAAGTCAACTCTGTATTCATTTGTGAATTTCACATTTTCATTGCGCTCAAATTCCTGAATATGTCTTTCAACCTCATCTAGTATTTCAAATATGAAATTGTTATTGAAATCTGTCTTTTCCAATTCTTTGTTCCTAATGTATTCATCAACCATGTGATTCACATTTCGGTGGAGTTTTTCAGCAAACTCCTGGAGAGTCCCCATTCCAAATGTTTCTTTAAAACTTTCCCATTTTGCTGCCATGACAGATTGGCTGATATGTTTTTTCTTTGTAAATTCAAACGTTCCTTTTTTAGATATTGTTTTAATCTTGTTCATGATATCTGCTTGTTTTTGGAAGCAGGAGTACAGAATACTCTCCACTACAGCTTTTATATGCACTGGCTCATCAGGCAGCTGATCATTAGCTATTTCAGCTACCCACTCAACCCAGAGTGAACTAAATTCTTTTTCTACTTCTTCATCAGTGAGCCTCTTGTCCTTCAGAGAAGTTGCCATGGTTTTGCTTTTTTGCATCAGATTTTTTTCATAATGTGATTTTTTCTGCTCCAGTTCTGTCATACTTCTCTTATTTTCAATTAATATTTTGCATTGTTTTAGGGTTTTTTCAATGAGCTCATTCTTCAGGCTCTCAAGTCGGTTTTCAACATTCCCTTTCCATTTAATAAGGATTTCAGCATGTTTGTCTTCTTTGAAATGTGTCTCAATCTCCCTTTTTAATCCAGTATAAACATCATCAAAGTCAGAAATCAGATCTGTGGTATTGACATCCGAAATGTTGTTGCTTCCAATTTGGTTTTCCAACTTGGTCTGTGTTTCCAGTGAAAATTTTCTTAACTTCCATGACCACTGACCATACTTCTCTTCCA